AATCACCATCAGTCTACCGAGACAAAGCGAGTATTCGGTGGCCGCCCGCGATAACTGCAGTGAGAGGACACTTGGAATTCTACCTGGGAGCGTCGCGGTCGCGGCGACGCCGCCTTCTACCACTGGCCTCACGGTCGGACGCCTTGCAAGACCAAGTGGCAAATTTTCCCCTAACTCTTCTGTAAACAATACACTGTTCCGTCTACTCTGCTTTCCCAAGACTTCTCCTATCTCCTAAGGAACCAGGGTCTGGAACATTGTAGGTTTTAGGGTTAACCGTATTCGCCTTAACACCTATACATCCTCTTTACCTCTCACATCGTCTTGATTAAAGGCATATTTAGGATTATACTTTTTATGAAGTCAAGTGTACATCCTTCTTTTCAATCCTACTGTTATTCTGTAGTATCGTGGCATTAACAACTCATGTTTGCCAGCAGATGAGGCTATTCGCCCTTTGATCTTCTCGGGTGTAAACACTATTACATCCCATGTATTGCCTTGATACCGTCATGGAATCGTTCATTCACTTACGATGAAAGAAGGTCGTTTGGTTTTCCTATGTTGCACGATTTTGACAATACTGACACGCCCCGGAGTGCAGATCATGACCGTTGCTTCGTTGATTCGACCTTGATTCGTTCTCAAGGTTACAGTGAAAGGAGACACGCAGTACTGCTTACAGTTTCGCTATACGCTTGCGAGAAACTGTTTTAAAGTTAAAAGAAAATGGTACTGGACACGACGTTGTTCTTGTGGCATTGAATCAATTTTCAGTCCTTTTGGGGCAGTCCATGTATTTTGAGGGATCAGTTGAGAAGATCCTATGAGCATTGTTATTTTAGTTATGAAATGCACTTAAAAATATGTCAGGCATATGCACGTACACGGTGTCACCAGACTACATATTTATTTAATACGCTACTGTGCCTGGTGAATTCTTTATTCGCAACTGTTAAGCCCAAAGGCAACAGCACCGACAAACATTGAGTGAGGGTTGACGAAAGGCCTCTATTCCCCAGATTAGAGGCAGATTCAGTATTTTTCATTTGATTTAGTTTTTGCTCAATTAATTGGGGAAATAAATACAGTCTTCCATTTACTTTTGTCAGTCACCTTCAGATTAGTCGACAAAATTGAAAGTGGCACACTACATCCGGTTCTTTTATGCACCCTATTAGTAATGTGACGTATGCAGTACTTCACGTGACCGTGTACTAACAGCTGCCAGTATTTAGTTCAAGTTAATCGAAACAGTGCTTTCCCAGCCCCCAATAACTACTTTGTATGTGAAGCCATAATTTTGCTTGGATAGCCTTATTCATTTTGAGGCTGTAATGCCACTTGTCTGGAAGCCTTACAGGCTAGATTTGTCCGGATATTCCTCTGTTTTGATGTATCGAATTTATAGTCATCGTTTTCTCGAGGTCTCTCCTTACGGCTAAACCTCGGCTGAGGCAGGTTGTTTACCATTTTCACGCTTGCCTAATGACGGTGAACATGAAACTGCACCCATCATATGCACTATGATAATGTCTCTCACAATGGCATAGTAAGAGCATCTCTACTTTTCCCTTTTCGCATCGGATCTCGTTGCCCTCTAGCCGAGGACAGCCTTTTTCATCATCAGCTTATATGGACAATCTTCCCTCAAAATGTTGGTTAACTTAGCGAGTTAAACGGAAAATCTATCAACAATTTCGCCGTAGTTTAATCTTTAGATTTGCTGACAGGAAATTAAAAAAATCTATGAACATTTTCGATGTGCACATGACTTATAAACTTATTAGTTACTCAACATACTGCTATATTCCATGCATGTTTACTATTAAAAAGGCAGAAGATTCAAGCTTGTATTTGGGCTACATGCCGGATGGCAAAAGTCCCTAGTAATTTTCGCCAGTTTTTCGTGCAACAAAGTACTGCTAATAAAGATACCGTCAAATGACTCACTTCAGTTTACTTCTCTGATCTAATTATATGTAAAATGTGATTAGGTCGTACGGCGAATTTAGAAAGCTACTTTTCAAGTCTAAGTGCAGCCAAAATAATAGCTAGCATGATTAATTGTAGACTAGTTGAACGTAGCCGAGAAGGTTATTTTGCTTTAACATCTGATTTGCCTGAATGCAAATTATAGTTCAGGGTATTCAAAAGTTAGCTCGAAATGTAACCCCGGTCAAACGGTCCCTAGTAGAGAGCACATGGTTGGCCGGGTGTGCGGGTGATTTTTAAATGTGTAAAGGGGCCTTAGGAACAACTGATCGAAATTTCATACGATTTTTTTTAAATTTCATTGAGGTAGACAACAAAAAGGGAACTTACGTTCAGCAATTCGAAAGCTGAAGGTGTGTCGAGTATGCAAGGTGGTTACTATGATGCTGTATTGACCGGCAAATGATGTACCCTTAATTTGAAATTGCTGATGGTCCCTGTTGTATGTGAGAAAATCTAAATCAGCCGACGTCACATATGGCCGCCCATCGTGGTTTTCTTTCACATACACCTTCCGATTGTTCACATATATATAGTACGATCCGCTTCCGACCTCCGCCGACTTAAGCCATATTTGGAAATGTGGGTTAGCCGGATCGACCTCCAGGCTGACGTAAGCGGTGTACCAGGAGCCAACATGTGCAACATCCGACAGCTGAGGTTCGAAAACGATGGAGATTTTCCCAGGAAATGTTTCTGTATTGGGAAAAAATGTCTGTGCTGTACTAAATATGCACTGGTGATTAATATTACGCCTATGTTTGCAAATGTAATTATGTTTAGTTTAAGCTTGCGGATGGGAAATAACGCCTAGCCTTTATCGTAGGAGAACGGAAACGCAGGACTGGTTATCTGGCTGAAGCCGTTTCTCAGAAACGGTGATTTAACGCGCGACAACCACTGAAAATGTGAATAAATTTTATTATTTGAGCAAACTGACAGAATAATCGAAAAGGTCGATATTTAGCGGTTTTTTTAACATTTCACAAAAATAAAGTCTGCTTATCTAAAATCTATACTAAAAATACTTGTCTTAAAATTGGAACTCCATTGACGTTAATCAACTTTAAAAATTACCAAGGCCAGCTTAGGTGCAAACACACTTGCGAGAACCATTAAAGTTAAAACGTTGTGTTGAGGGGTGTTTTGAGGAACCTATTTGCTTAGTTTTGGGACGTGTTTATACTGTTTCAAATCGTACAGTATGAATTAAGTCATTTGTGAAAGGGCTTTTTGTGCAATCCAGTAATGCCGCTCGAACATACTTACTTTGGTGAGCATCCACCAACGCGTCTGCACAAAAGCCTTCAGATAAACATTGTCACAGCAGCCATAGTCCGTGGGAATTCACTCGAAATTCTCCCGGGAATGCGGCAGTGATTTCGTGGAAGGAACACTCTTTAGTTAACTATACACAACTACCTATTTATTCCGTTATAGTAAGTTCATTTTGTTTTGCTATTTCATCTAATCGTAGATCGCTGTGCGTTTATACATAATGTTTCTACGGCTTTTCTTACGTAAGGTTACTTTTAGTTTTATTAGTTTTTGTTTAGTTTTTAGGTTAACCACTTTAGCTTACTTTACTTTTACACAAACCTGGGGTTATCTGTAACTGTGGTGCTCCTTACAAGGAATCGGTGCCGGGACTCCAGCTGAGGAGAACACTTCAATTTCCAAAGTTTAAGGAGGACCAGTTAATGTCCGGGGGAAACGCATGGTTCCAAAAATGGCCAAACGTACCGGAAAAGTGAGTCGTTTGTATCAGAAGATGGAGGTTTGAGGTAAAATTCCCCCGGAGTTTGTGAAGGCGAATTCCCACGCGATGTTTATGCAAAAATCTCCTTTTAAGAGGTATTTTAGAAAGCAGACCGATATTGAAGTTGGCGTAAGGCATTGTATCAACGATACTATCTGGCTCTTGCAGACACTGCGGAGACTTTCAAACAACTTAATAGAAGTATAAAGCAGGGCGGGTTAGCAGTTGTACAACTTTCCCCACTTGGAACAAGTTG